ACATGAAGGTACTTTAAAATAACATAAAGATACTATAAAAAGTTTTCTGTAATGATAATTCACCAGCTTGCAGATATACATACAAATTACATTAATGCCTGACATTAAGAATGTTGGACCTGCGGACAGTTGTCTTCAAACGCGTTTTTACTATATATACAATTAGGTGTAAAGCTAGTGTGCAAAAATTATCTCTGTATGTACAGGTTTCAAAATTAAAAGCTTCAAAGTCAGAAAATAAAGGTTTCTTATTCATAAAAAAATGATCGTTATGTCTAGGACAACAGTACATGTTTTATGATGTAAACCAATACATCTGGATGGAATAAACGAATAATGTCGATAAATTTTAGTTACTCGGAAATTATGTAAATCAAAACCCTAAACAATTAACTCACCTGTTAATACTGCTAAAACTCTGCACTGATAAATAAATATATATATATATATATAATTCTAAGAAAATTGTGCCTAATGTGGTTACATTACTGTTTTAACGCTGATACTGTGTTTATTGAGAATATAACTATCAGATAGGTTTTTCCACTACATATAAGTATATCCAGACACAAAGCAGTATATACACATAGAACCGGTTAAGAATTAAAAATTCAAGTTCGTAAAAAATTTATAAGAATCACATAAGGATACTATAACTTTCAATGCAAAACCAAAACCCGTTAAATGCAGATGCATTGGCTTAATAAAGAACCAAAAAATATCAAAGTTACAAAACAGCATGTTACATATATATATGGCAGTATTAACTAATAGTGCTCATTGAATTACCACTCAAAAAGTGAAAATAAGTAATAAAAGAAAAACGTAATTTTGGACACAATTAAGACACTTAAAGTATGCACATATATAGTCAAACTCCATATAAAGCACTATTATGCATACAGGAATAAACCTTATCAAAAATATAGGGACAAAATAAATTACAAGTAAAGGGGAAAACGACAGAAAAAAATATAATCTATTTGTATATTAGGATTGTTCACGGAACTTCACAATCTAGGAACTTCAGCAGACAGGAAGTGATAATGTTGTAAGCTTTATTTGTATTATTTTAATTTAGATATTTGTTTGCTAGAGGGTGCATGTTATTACGTCATGATGACGAAATATCTAAAAACTTCATGAAAGTTAAGAATCTAGAAGTGTCATGTTGTATGTAAAAATAGTAATACAGTATAAATACCACACTTAGTGAATCAATGAATGAATAAGTTCAATGCCAGTTAGTGAGTTAAAATTGTGAGTTAGTGTATCTATGATTCAGTTAGTTAGGGAATTAGTCAACATGTTTGCTGTCACTCGATTAGTGAGTAAATTTTATAAGTAACTTCATAAATAAGTTATATGTATATTGGTTTTGGAGTTTTTGCCAAAATGTTGTTTGTGAAGTTAGGCCTACCTTGAACGTAGCCTGAAGCAAACTTAAGTTTAAGAAATAAGAAATAAATTAATTTGATATAGTTATGTGGACTGAACTTGGCATTATTATCACCAAATAATCCAAAAGAAATCAGCTAAAGGTAGAACACGCTATAATAATATAAATGAAACAAACAAGTAGCGACAGCATTAAAAGCAACCACCCAGTGTCATTATGAACTGAAAAGGAAAAAGAATCAGTACAAGATCTTGAGCTGGATGTTCATACGAAGAAACAGTCTAAACATGTAAAAGCAAGGCCGTAGGAAGCAGTAAGGCCAGTCACTTTTTCATGCCATGTATAGCTACAACTTATGCATTTAAATTTGCTTCTTTTAATTCAATACATTTTGTTGTGGTCTATACAGTATTTGTTGTTTAAATGGCTCAAGATTCAATCTCATAGCATTAAATTTTCAAACATTTTCTGGGGGCATACCCCTAACACTCATAGAAATCGCATGCTTAGTTTGCCGGTAGTTTACTTTACCCACACAGTGTGTTACGTTGTTTACCTATGGCAATGGCCTAACCATTTCAAAATTGCTTCCCACAGCAATGAAAAGTGAATTCAATGCCATTACATTCATACACCAACACTGCCCCTTTGTTTTCAGATCCTAAATAAAACAGCTTTAATATGTTTTTATTTACTGATTTATAATTCCATCTGTGGAGTGACATGTTTTAATACAAACGTTTTGTTTAAATGACGATTAAAAGTCGAAATTTTGTGCATGACAACATCACATTTGAAAAATGAAGGTTAAAAAATGAATGAATATACAACTTACAATTTATCTAGCTTTTGCTATTTTGTAATCCCATTGAGAATGAGTTGTTTTATTTTTGTTATGAACAAAAACATATATTTATTCAAATAATGTTTCTGTTAATACAGCCCCCTAGTGGCACAGCGACATGTCTGCGGACTTACAACGCTAAAAACCGGGTTTCGATTGTATAGCTTTGTGCTTTATTCCAAAGAAACAAACTGTTAATGCAAAGCAAAGCTAAATATTTTCTATACACGATCATATTTGCAACTAGGACTAAAAATATCCGATTTGTTACTTTGTAATTTTCGTCAGTTTTTTAATTCATCTTTTTCACAAATAATGATATAAATAAACAAAATGAATTTTAATAGAAAATGATCGAAATAAGACTGTCTTGAATAAACTACAGTAACTTTAAGACTTATTTCAGAATTACTAGTTCATTTTCCGGAAGTTTTATGTACAGCGCCATAAGGTTCCGCTTTTCTGTTGGTATATATTTACAAATATAATTTTGAAATTGAATTACAATTGACAACTGTGGTTAGGCCTATTCGTTTTTGTTACTACAACCTCTAAGTGTGAAGTTTTGTATATAAATAACACAGGCCTGCAATGATTTTATTGTCTTGAAATTTTTACATCTTCTGCAGTAATTCCCGTTCGCTGAATCCGAAAATGATATCCATTTTACTCCATCATGTACAGATTTCTCACAAAACGTCATATGTACTTTTACATAAGTGAAGCATTATCATTGAAATCGGGTCACATTTTGTTATGCTTAAAATGTTGACAACCACTGGCTATAACGAATAAAAACCCTATAATCCGCGCGCTTTCGAAAGGTGGACCTTTCTTCTTCAGGAACAAACTGACTATAGATTTCTCTACACCAATCACGACGTGTGAGTCTTATCAATCGTTCTAGAACCCACGAGAAACACACCACTAGTATATAAACGGTTAACAGGCTGCATGAAGTGTCATTTCTGGATATTATTTGTTTGTGCGTGCACTTTGACATTATTTTTTTTTCTTTTCAATATTAATTATTCGTCGCCATGGCAACAAAAGGTAGTGTAAATTACCCAAACATAATCTGTAATATTTGTGGTAAATTTATTGTTGATTTGATCTGAGTAAGTTTTTCTTCCCGATTTGTAAAAATTCCTTAAGTGATAGAAAAAAATGAATATCATTTTCGAAAGCTGCGTAGTTGAATTATGGAAATACCGTTATTAAAACCAAAACAACTTTTATGAACTTTAAATTCGCAGGCCTGTGTTATTAGTAACATCTGAAGGTTGTTGTTGTTTATATTTGTGGAATTTCATGCAAACTCGAGGACCATATTTGCTGGCCATCCCTAATATTGAAGTGATAAAATAGAGGGAAGGCAAAGGGTAAAAATCACTAGCCGTCAATTCGTGGGCTTCTCTAACTAAATAGTGGATTTGACCGTCACTGTTACAACACACCCCCGGTCCAAAATTACGTAACGTGATTTTTTTTTGTTTTTGGTAGTAATAAGGCTATGAACCATGGAACCTTGGGTCCGTCTGAAGAAAAGTATTTAATTTTGAAATATCGTTAAGTATTTCTCGACAAATATATGTCATAGTTTGCTTCCGCAAGGATGATTGTAAAATTATATATGCCCAAAATTTATAAGTGGACATTCTGAGTGAGATTGTCTGTTTTAGAACTACTGCACAAAGCTTCACCTAGCCACTTCTAATTTTGAACTGACAGACTTGAGAGATAGCAGATAGTCAACAGTATATCCTTTGAAAATTGTTGGGCTACTTTTATCTGACAGGAAAAGAGGATGATTATAGCGCACCCTAAGCCCTAAGTGCGGGTAGCTTTTTTGTGCAAATAGGGCAAGATTCACAAATGCTAGGATTTATAGTTCAAGCACGCCGACCATCTGCCTCTCACCTGATTGAGAAAACTGTATTGACCATTATTATCTCGATATTCGTCATATAATGTATTAAAAAGAAGAGAAAAAATGCGTGCAGAACATTGTTACAATGATTTTTAACATTTATTTGCAAAAAAATATTTTGAATATCAAAAAAATGTTATGTACAAGTTTTGTCTGAAGTATGAAATATAATTACGGTCTTTGGTTAGAATTTTTTGAGTATCTGAACTGTGGAATGTGTATAAAGACTTGGGTTAGAATTATTATGGTATTTGAAATATGAAAGGCAAATACAGATCTAAATTAAATTTATTACAGTATGTGAAGTACGAGGTGACAAATATATTTTACGACATTAATATTTTTAATTGACAAATCGATCTTCAAAATGCAAATAAAATTTAAATTATAGCATCGCAAGTGAGATTCTAGCGGCTTCAAGAGCTAAAATTGTTGTTTTTACGGGGCATAAACCGAAAGGGAAAAAATTATATATTTTAGTGAAAGTAAGGTTTTTGGATTATCATAAACTTAAGTTAGAATATTTTTCTTTCAAACTTAGACTTTAAATTATATAAAACTGTATAGAAAAAACTACACCAGGTGGGGTATTTATCTCTTTTGCGTTGTCTATGTGTCATTGGTTTATCGCAAAATTGAGTGTCTACGCCAAACACGTTGGTAAATTCTTCTCTGTGGTTCGCCGGCGTTGGAGAGTTTTTAGTCGAGTAAGTGCAAATAAGTTATCTTAAAAGTAAATCATGTCTGTTTGCAAATAAACTTGCGACTATGGGCTAGAAATTTATAGAATTAAGAAAATAAATCGGATACTTATAGACGTGGAATAACCTTATTGCTAAAATAAGATATTAACTAGCAAAAGCATAGTCAAAATTTTGGAAGTATGGCGATATTGATTATAAAAATATAATTTTATAAGGGCATTAATTCGAATTTATTTTTGGTGTTAGGCTTATCCGAGTAAAGAACAAAATCCAAAAATGATCTTATGCGTAGAATTAAAACTGCCCAAGTTTAAGTCATATTTCGTTCAGCTATTGTAATTTTAATGTTTACACTTTAGCAGTAGGCTTAGGCTAATAAATATCAGGGCCGTAGGAAACGAACGGTAAGGCCAGCAAGGCAGTGGCCTAACCACTTTTTGAAGTTTTTCATGCCATGTTTAGTTACAGCTTATGTATTAAAACTTGCTTCTTTTAATTCAATACATTACGTTGTGTTAATGCAGTATTTTTGGTTAAAATGGATGACTCAAACTAATAGCATTAAATTTTCAAAACATTTTTGGGCATGACCCCAAACCACTTGAAATGGCATGATTTTCACACATTGTTTAGCTGTGGCAATGGTCTGACCACTCAAAAATTACATCCTATGACAATGAATATAGTTTAAGAGTGTGATATTACCTATATTCACCCAATTCTGACTGGTGATTCTTAAATTAGTCTCTACAGTCAAACTTTAGATACTGACTATTATTATTAGTTAAATTTACTAAGCCTAGAGTCTGTTGATATTACTAAATAAACTAGTAAATGTAAGCATTGTCATTAACTTAAGTTTAAACTAGTTGCTATGTGTGACACCTGTGAGTGAATTTTGGTTCATTATTAGCCTAGAAATACACTGTACATGTGCTTGAAGTTGATGGATTATTATTTTCTGATATAGAGCCAAAAGTTTAATTAGTCTAAAACCCTCCAGTCTGTATTAATTACTGTAGATAAAGACATAATTCCCTATAACCCGAGCACTTTTGAAAGGCGGATCTGTCTTCTTTAGGGCCTAACCAGTGATTTGTACAATTAAATTGTACTTGTTTAGACTTGTATTTAATATTTCTGTAGATATAACCTAAAATCCTATTTGCCATAACACTAGCAACAGAGCACTGCTTGATGGCATGAAAGATTGATCAACCTTTTCTCGTACATCGTTTTTGATGTCCTAATTTCCTGTTTGACCAACTTTCTTGATCTTCTAAGTCTTCCATCATATCAGTCAATATAACTTTTCAAGTTATTATGCTTTTCTTTCTCGTAAACTCTTTTTTTATTTGCAGCCACCCTTTTCTTTCCATAAGGAATATGTTTATCTTGAATATTTAATAATTTATCTTTAAAATACTTGCACATTTGATCAGTGGCTCCACATAACTCATCATCCCAGTTCACAACAGATAATTCTTGTCACATCCCTTCATATTAAAAAATAGAATATAATGCAAATGTTTGATTAGGGATTTTTAAACTGTAAATGACTAACCATTTATAATCACAAATACAGTTAATATGAGATGTCTAAACATACAAGTTTAATAAATTTTGAAATGTTACTTGATACACCTTCAGGGAGCATCACCATAGAAATAAATACATCACAAAACCAAAGGCTGGAACATCAAATGAAAAGCTGCAAAACAAAACGGGTGTTTGTATTTAAAGATATGTTTAGTACAGTGGAAGAAAATTTTTTTGTGAAACAAAAATTTGGCATAAAGTTCATTCAAACACTAGCTTTATTTTTTAAGTACA